ATCATTACAATTTTGGTACAGAGTGCATTTCTTGGCACAATGTATTTTTCCTATTCACGCAAATAACTTTGTCAGTTTTCAAACTACGACAGTTTCGTATACCTCATTTTAATTCATAAGAAACGCACTTCCCTTTGATATATCACTTATACAAATATCTTAAGTTCATAAAATTTACCAAATTTGCATATCATTACAATTTTGGTACAGAGTGCATTTCTTACTATATTGTATTTTCTCTATTCACGCAAATAACTTTGTCAGTTTTCAAGCTACGACAGTTTCGTATACCTCATTTTAATCCATAAGGAACGCACTTTCTTCTGATATATATTACTTCATAAAATTTATAAACTTTGCATATTTTTCCTATTCACGCTAATAATTTTGTCAGTTTTCAAGCTATGACAGTTTCGTATACCTCATTTTAATCCATAAGAAACGCACTTTCTTTTGATATATTTCTTATTCAAAAATCCTCAGTTCATAAAATTTATAAAATTTGCATATCATTACAATTTTTGTACAGAGTGCATTTCTTAGTATATTGTATTTTCTTTATTCACGGAAATAACTTTGTCAGTTTTCAAGCTACGACAGTTTCGTATACCTCATTTTAATCCATAAGAAACGCACTTTCTTTTAATATATCACTTATACAAATATCTTAAGTTCATAAAATTTACCAAATTTTGTAATGATAATAACAAAATTTAATCATTTTAATCCATAAGAAACGCACTTTCTTTTGATATATCATTTATACAAAAATCTTAAGTTCATAAAATTGATCAAATTTGCATATCATTACAATTTTGGTACAGAGTGCATTTCTTATTATATTGTATTTTCCTTATTCACACAAATAACTTTGTCAGTTTTTAAGCTACAACAGTTTCGTATACCTCATTTTAATCCATAAGAAACGCACTTTCTTTTGATATATCACTTATACAAATATCTTAAGTTCATAAAATTTACCAAATTTGCATATCATTACAATTTTGGTACAGAGTGCATTTCTTGTCACAATGTATTTTTCCTATGCACGCAAATAACTTTGTCAGTTTTCAAGCTACGACAGTTTCGTACATTTCTTGGCACAATGTATTTTCCCTATTCACGCAAATAACTTTGTCAGTTTTCAAGACAGTTTTGTATACCTCATTTTAATCCATAAGAAACGCACTTTCTTTTGATGTATCACTTATTCAAAAATCTTAAGTTCATAAAACTGATAAACTTTGCATATCATAACAATTTTGGAACAGAGTATATTTCTTAGTATATTGCATTTTCCCTATTCACGCAAATAACTTTGTCAGTTTTCAAGCTACGACAGTTTCGTACACCTCATTTTAATCCATAAGAAACAAACTTTCTTCTGATATATATTACTTATTCAAAAATTTTAAGTTCATAAAATTTATAAACTTTGCATATTTTTCCTATTCACGCAAATAACTTTGTCAATTTTCAAGCTAAGACAGTTTCGTATACCTCATTTTAATCCATAAAAAACTCACTTTCTTTTGATATATCACTTATTCAAAAATCCTAAGTTCATAAAATTTATAAAATTTGCATATCATTACAATTTTTGTACAGAGTGCATTTCTTAGTATATTGTATTTTCTCTATTCACGGAAATAACTTTGTCAGTTTTCAAGCTACGACAGTTTCGTATACCTCATTTTAATCCATAAGAAACGCAGTTTCTTTTAATATATCACTTATACAAATATCTTAAGTTCATAAAATTTACCAACTTTGTCAGTTTTTAAGCTACAACAGTTTCGTATACCCTATTTTAATCCATAAGAAACGCACTTTCTTTTGCATATCACTTATTCAAAAATCGTAAGTTCATAAAATTGACAAACTTTGCATTACAATTTTGGTTCAGAGTACATTTCTTGGCACAATGTATTTTCCCTATTCACGCAAATAACTGTGTAAGTTTTCAAGCTACGACAGTTTCGTATACCCTATTTTAATCCATAAGAAACTCACTTTTTTTGACATATCACTTATTCAAAAATCGTAAGTTCATAAAATTGACAAACTTTGCATATCATTACAATTTTGGTTCAGAGTACATTTCTTGGCACAATGTATTTTCCGAAATCACGCAAATAACTTTGTCAGTTTTCAAGCTACGACAGTTTCGTATACCTCATTTTAATCCATAAGAAACGCACTTTCTTCTGATATATATTACTTATTCAAAAATCTTAAGTTCATAAAATTTATAAACTGTGCATATTTTTCCTATTCACGCAAATAACTTTGTCAATTTTCAAGCTAAGACAGTTTCGTATACCTCATTTTAATCCATAAGAAACTCACTTTCTTTTGATATATCACTTATTCAAAAATCCTAAGTTCATAAAATTTATAAAATTTGCATATCATTACAATTTTTGTACAGAGTGCATTTCTTAGTATATTGTATTTTCTCTATTCACGGAAATAACTTTGTCAGTTTTCAAGCTACGACAGTTTCGTATACCTCATTTTAATCCATAAGAAACGCAGTTTCTTTTAATATATCACTTATACAAATATCTTAAGTTCATAAAATTTACCAAATTTTGTAATGATAATAACTTTGTCAGTTTTTAAGCTACAACAGTTTCGTATACCCTATTTTAATTCATAAGAAACGCACTTTCTTTTGACATATCACTTATTCAAAAATCGTAAGTTCATAAAATTGACAAACTTTGCATTACAATTTTGGTTCAGAGTACATTTCTTGGCACAATGTATTTTCCCTATTCACGCAAATAACTGTGTAAGTTTTCAAGCTACGACAGTTTCGTATAACCTATTTTAATCCATAAGAAACTCCCTTTTTTTGACATATCACTTATTCAAAAATCGTAAGTTCATAAAATTGACAAACTTTGCATATCATTACAATTTTGGTTCAGAGTACATTTCTTGGCACAATGTATTTTCCGAAATCACGCAAATAACTTTGTCAGTTTTCAAGCTACGACAGTTTCGTACACCTCATTTTGATCCATAAAAACGCACTTTTTTTTGATGTATCATTTATACAAAATCTTAAGTTCATAAAATTTATCAAATTTTCATATCATTACAATTTTGGTACAGAGTACATTTCCTGGCAGAATGTTCCCTATACACGCAAATAACATTGTCAGTTTTCAAGCTACGACAGTTTCGTATACCTGATTTTAATCCATAAGAAACGCACTTTCTTTTGATATATCACTACAAATATCTTAAGTTCATAAAATCTACCAAATTTGCATACCATTGCAATTTTGATACAGAGTACATTTCTTGGCACAATGTATTTTCCCTATTCACGCAAATAACTTTGTCAGTTTTCAAGACAGTTTTGTATACCTCATTTTAATCCATAAGAAATGCACTTTCTTTTGATGTATCACTTATTCAAAAATCTTAAGTTCATAAAACTGATAATCTTTGCATATCATAACAATTTTGGCACAGAGAACATTTCTTAGTATATTGCATTTTCCCTATTCAAGCAAATAACTTTGTCAGTTTTCAAGCTACGACAGTTTCGCATAACTCATTTTAATCCATAAGAAACGCACTTTCTTCTGATATATATTACTTATTCAAAAATCTTAAGTTCATAAAATTTATAAACTCTGCATATCATTACAATTTTGGCACAGAGTACATTTCTTAGCATATTTTTATTTTTCCTATTCACGCAAATAACTTTGTCAGTTTTCTAGCTACGACAGTTTCGTATACCTCATTTCAATCCATAAGAAACGCACTTTTTATTGATATATTACTTATACAAATATCTTAAGTTCATAACATTTGCAAAATTTGCATATCATTACAATTTTTTAACAAAGTACATTTCTTGACACAATGTATTTTCCCTATTCACGCAAATAACTTTGTCAGTTTTCAAGCTACGACAGTTTCGTATACCTCATTTTAATCCATAAGAAACGCACTTTCTTTTGATATATCATTTATACAAAAATCTTAAGTTCATAAAATTTATCAAATTTGCATATCATTACAAGTTTGGTACAGAGTGCATTTCTTAGTATATTGTATTTGCTCTATTCACGGAAATAACTTTGTCATTTTTCAAGCTACGACAGTTTTGTATACCTCATTTTAATCCATAAGAAACGCACTTTCTTTTGATATATCACTTATACAAAAATCTTAAGTTCATAAAATTTATCAAATTTGCATATCATTACAATTTTGGTACAGAGTGCATTTCTTAGTATATTGTATTTTGAGTTCACATCTGATATTCATAACGAACGGTAGTCTCAGCAACATAAGCGCACAGCAAATCTTTATACATATTAAAAATAAAGATAACACTATTGTTTTTGTAATTGCCTACACACGTTCTTATTGAACTCACACGTGATAGTCAATTTTTTAAATAGAAACTAATAACACACCACCTAAAATGGCCCCAGGGGCCAAAAAATCTAGGAACAAAAAGCGCAATGCTAAGATAAAGTCAACTAAACAACCAGGGCATGTTTATCCAAATATTCCATCTTCGTTGGGAAATAGATTTAGTATCATTTTCCGAAATCCAAAATTTATTAGGTAAGGAATGCTTTTTTAAGCGTACTTCCATTGGTACCAAAGTATTCACTCCAAACCAGGCAGTATATAAAAGCTGTATGCAAACACTAAAGGAAAATCAAATTGAGTTCCATTCGTATAATTCGAAAGATAATAGGTTATACACCACCTTCTTGCATGGCTTACCTCGTATCAAAGCAGACGATATCAAATCCGAATTGGAGAGCTACAACTTGTCACCATCTGCTGTAACTGAAATTATTACCAAATTTAGCTCGGATAATAATGCAGTGTATAAGGTACAATTTATTCGAAAAAACTTTAATCCAAGTTCTTTAAAAAATGTGAGAACTATAGCTAACGTAATTATTACATGGAAAAAATACAGACCGAAGAAAAATGATAGACCAACACAATGTTGGAACTGTCTAATGTATGGTCATGGTGGAGAGCATTGTCATCGAGGTGCCGCTTGCATGATATGCGCAGAAAACCATCATACAAATGTTTGTCCATTTAATACAAATGAAAAGCGACCAGCTGTTTTTACTTGTTTTAATTGTAAAAAACATGGAAAAGAAAGAACTGATCATGCAGCAAACGACATAAATTGTCCACTACGTTCTCTTTATCTGGAGACGAGGGCAAGAGTAACAACTAAATCTCATAATAATAACAGAGTACAGCAAAATCTAAATACATTCCAATTCAACGGTGTGGAATTTCCCAACTTAGGCAATACAACAAGCCGCAACAATAATAATATAATGAATGCCAACGTTTCATACGCAAACCAGCTGAAAAATAATTCCGATCTGTTTAGTGTCGATGAACTTTTCGATATCTTTACAACTGCTATGGAAGATTTACAAAGATGTACATCAAAAGTGCAACAAATTAAAGTTGTTATGTCTATGGTAAAGTATGCTCATGGCTTACACTAATTCAAACGAATTTAAAATGCTTCATTTGAATGTTAATGGAATTTCATACTTTTCAAAATTAAAACAACTAGAAATATTGCTCGAAAGGGAAAATATAAAAATTGCTTCATTAAACGAAACATTTTTAACGGAAGGCATCAAACCCTTTTTAAAAAATTACTTTTTCTACAGAAACGACAGGTCAGATGGAAGAGGAGGAGGCGTCGCTTTACTGGTTCATAAATCTATAAAACATAAAAACTGCTTCACATTTAACACTAGATCTATTGAAAATATATCTATAGAAATAACAATAAATAATAGACCGATTGTAATAACTTCTGCATACTCGCCCCGTTATAACAATAATTTCTCTAATGATATTCATAAACTTACACCTTCAGCCAATGAATACATAGTTTTAGGAGACCTAAATGCTAAACATTCCGCCTGGAATGTTTACTTGTAACTTTTTCGTATACTACCCAAATAGTCCTACATTATACCCACATCAACGTAATAGACAACCGTCTACGGTCGATGTGGTAATTAGTAATTCCGCACTAAATATAGAAGTAAGAACGTTGGGTTACGAAATTCCTTCAGATCATCGTCCCATTATTTGCACCATAAAACGATCGAAGGCTTCAATTGCTGATATCAGTTACTATGATCATAGATTAACGAACTGGAACATTTTTAAGAATTTTGTTGACAATCATATAGTATTCAATATAGATGATTACAATTCAAAGCAAACAATTGATAATGAAATTAACAAATTAACCAACATTATTTTAGAAGCAAGAAATGCATCAACTCCCAAAGTTACTCAACGAAACTATTTTGAATTGCCTGAGAATATCTGTAAATATATAAAACTAAGAAGAAGCTACAAAAGAAAAAGTCAAAGAACTTCAAATGCAGTTGAGAAACAATTTTACAATCAATATGCAAACCTTCTTACTAAAATGATAGATAAAAACATCAAAGCAGAACGCAATAATAAATGGTGTCAATTACTATCTAATTTAAAACCAGGAGATACAACTTTTTGGAGAATTAGCAGAAGTCTGCGAGAAAAAGGTAAACACCAAATTCCATATATCAACTATGGAAATACCAAAATAACAGATGATAAGGAGAAAGCTGAAATTTTAGCAAATACATTTGTCCAAGCAAATAATCTTACCTCAAGCTACAAACATTCAATGGATAAATTCATTAACGCAAGAGTTAATGATTTTAGGAAGGAGAACCCATCTTCTGATTCCGCCATTTTTACAAATCTTGGAGAAATAACAAGTGTTGTGTCATCTTTAAAAGCCTCCAAATCACCTGGGTTTGACAATATCACTAATATACTTTTAAAGAACCTGCCAATTAAAGCGTTGAAATTGTTAGTCATTCTCTTTAACAGTTGCATTAAACTTAATTATTTTCCAAAAAATTTTAAAAACGCTAAGGTTATAGCTATAAATAAACCAAATAAGCCTAAAAACAGCCCTAACAGCTACAGACCTATTAGCTTGCTAAGCAATCTAGGTAAAATATTGGAAAAAATTTTACATCATCGCCTAATTGAATTTGTAAATTCAAATTCCATTGTTGCTAAAGAACAATTTGGGTTCAAAAAAGATCATAGCACTACTCACCAAATAAAAAGGATAAAAAATAAAATAATTGCTAATAAGAACAACAAAATATCAACGGGCCTTATCCTGCTAGATATAGAAAAGGCGTTTGATACTGTTTGGCATAACGGCCTTTTATATAAACTTTTACTTGCTAATATCCCGAAATATCTTAGTAAACTTATTGCTGATTTTATGGACGATAGAATTTTCAAAGTTGCAATTAAAAATACGACCTCATCTGACAAACATATTTCCACTGGGCTGCCACAAGGATCTGTTTTGTCACCACTCCTGTATTCAATATATACATCCGACTTTAAAGTTCCGAAGTACATGCAAACTGCATATTACGCAGATGATACCGCTTTAATTACTTCAAGCAAGAGTACCGGTGCTCTCTTAAAGAAAATGGAAAAAGGACTTGTAAGTTGCAACAAATATTTTCACAAATGGAAAATCAAAATAAATCCAATTAAGACTCAGGCTATAATTTTCCCATTCAACAAATCCCCTAAAAGATTGGCCCGGCGTCCCTTGCTAATAGGAAATAATGTTATAAATATACAAAACGATGTAAAATATTTGGGGGTTACGTTGGACAAAAAACTTATATTCAAACGGCATATCAACGAAATCTGCAAAAAAGCAATTAAAGCTTTTAGAGCCCTATGGCCATTGCTAAATAAACGTTCATGTCTGAACATGAAAAATAAGAATCTTCTATTTAAAAGTGTTATAAGACCCATATTAACATATGCATGTCCTGTATGGAGTACTGCAGCTAACTGTCACTTGAATCGTTTGCAAGTTATTCAAAACAAATGTCTCAAAATGATATATAACAAACACTGGAGATACCCAACATACCTTATCCATGAAGAAACTGGATACGAAAGAATTACTGATTATATAAAAAGAATTAAAAACAAGTTTTATGAAAAAATTGAAAGTTCTTCTTATCCCATGATAAGAGAATGTGTAGAAATTATACAAAGTTAAATGCAAATCACCAAATCGAAAATGATATGTTTATACGGTGCTATTACAACTAATAGCACAACTTTAAACCTATATAATTTTTCTTCATATTTGAATTCATTTAAAATCATATAAAGGTTTTTCCCATTTTACCTTAGAAAAGATTATAATGTAAAAAAAAAATATTGTAAATATCACTAGTCAATTCATTATTTGTTGTAATATCTATATAAAGATAAGATCTCATTTGTAAATATTTAGTAAGTAAAGATGTAAATAAAGGAAGATTATACAATTCAAATTCAAATTCAGTATATTGTATTTTCCCTATTCACGCAAATAACTTTGTCAGTTTTCAAGCTACGACAGTTTCGTTTAAATCATTTTAATCCATAAGAAACGCACATTCTTTTGATATATCACTTATACAAATACCTTAAGTTCATAAAATTTAGCAAATTTGCATAACATTACAATTTTGGTACAGAGTGCATTTCTTGTTACAATGTATTTTCCGTATTCACGCAAATAACTTTGTCAGTTTTCAACCTACGGCAGTTTCGTATACCTCATTTTAATCCATAAGAAACGCACTTTCTTTTGATATATCATTTATACAAAAATCTTAAGTTCATAAAATTTATCAAATTTGCATTTCATAACAATTTTGGCACAGAGTACATTTCTTAGCATATTTTTATTTTTCCTATTCACGCAAATAACTTTGTCAGTTTTCTAGCTACGACAGTTTCGTATACCTCATTTTAATCCATAAGAAACGCACTTTCTTTTGATAAATTACTTATACAAATATCTTAAGTTCATAAAATTTGCCAAATTTGCATATCATTACAATTTTGGAACAAAGTACATTTCTTGACACAATGTATTTTCCCTATTCACGTAAATAACTTTGTCAGTTTTCAAGCTACGACAGTTTCGTATACCTCATCTTAATCCATAAGAAACGCACTTTCTTTTGATATATCACTTATACAAATATCTTAAGTTCATAAAATTTACCAAATTTGCATATCATTACAATTTTGGTACAGAGTGCATTGCTTACTATATTGTATTTTTCCTATTCACGCAAATAACTTTGTCAGTTTTCAAGCTATGACAGTTTTGTATACCTCATTTTAATCCATAAAAAACGCAATTTCTTTTGATATATCACTTATTCAAAAATCCTAAGTTCATAAAATTTATAAAATTTGCATATCATTACAATTTTTGTAGAGTGCATTTCTTAGTATATTGTATTTTCTCTATTCACGGAAATAACTTTGTCAGTTTTCAAGCTACGACAGTTTCGTATACCTCATTTTAATCCATAAGAAACGCACTTTGTTCTCAAAAGAAGCCCCGAAAAACGAGGAAGGAGAAGCTAGACGGAGGAAAAGGAAAAGAGCCGCCATCTTACGCCAAAGTTGCCAGAAGTAGGCACCGGGACGACAGGCAAAATTCCAATAGACCAACAGAGTAAAATAGAAGACCTTGTCAACAATAAGATAGTGGACCATGCAATCGCTTCAAAGGGCAAACAACCAATAGAGAGCGAGAGCTGCGAGTTCAGCATGGGCGTGATGTTGATGAAGTTGGCATCTCACCAATGTGTTAGCACCCTAAAGAACTTGGTGGAAAGTATCCCTCCTCCCTGGGACGGCGCTAGGCTGGGACTGGCAAAGAAGAGCGAGCTTCCGGTGCTCCTAAAGTCCACTGTCTACATAAAAGGATGGGGCAGTAAACTGGCTAATGAACGTATACTGGAAATTCTTGGAGGTCAAAATGCTGAGCTGGCCGTGGAAAAATGGGATGTCTTTTACAGGAAAGAAGAACCTGAGGGAACTTTATTTGTAATAGGTATCGACCAGAAATCCATGGCTAGTCTTGCCAAGAATAAAGGTAGGGCTTACTTCGCCTCTAAATCTGTCATATTCAAAATTGGGAAGGTGCCGATTGGAAGGGCTGTTACAACGAGCCTCGAAAAGGACACTAAAAAACCTAAGACCACAGCATCAGTATCCACTACTGATAACGTTGAGGAGTCAAATCCTAAAATCGAGGAATTTACCATTAACTCGCCAGAAGAAAGTGTAGTTGCCCTTTCCAAAATTGGGAAGGCGCCGATTGAAAGGGCTGTCAAAACCGGCCCCGACAATTACACTAAAACACCTAAGACAGTACCCAAAGCATCATTAGCAAGTACTAGCAATGTTGAGGAGTCAAATCCTAAAGGCGAGGAGGAAATCACTCACCCGCCAGAAGACAGAACAGCAATGCTCTCCAGAATTGGGAATGTGTCTATTAAAAATACTGCTATTCCTATGCCTGATAAGGACACCGCAGTGCCATCAACAGTACTCACTGCATTAATAGCCACTTCAGGCTATCCGGAGGAGTCAAATCCAAAGAGCGAGGAGGTGACCACCAACTCGCTGGAAGACCGTTTAATGGATGACCATGATTGAGGTTATCCAAATAAACCTCCATCGGAGCGAGACAGCTACCAACGCTCTGATGGCTAAAATCAACACAGGTAAAATACATATAGCTTTAATCCAGGAACCTTGGACGATTCGCAACAAGGTTTCTGGATTAAATCACGTAAATTTCCAACTTTTCTACGCTGATACAGGATCTCGCCCGAGAATATGTATCTTATGTCACAAGAACTTATGTTTTCTCCTCTCAACAGGATTATCAACATCGGATGCAACGGTGCTGAAGCAAGGTCGTGGCAACATATTCCTTGCATCTATTTACCTGCCTTTCGATTCTCCGACACTACCACCAACGTC